TATTGAGGTGTTGGTGAATTGTGGTTGATTTTGAGATGTCTCACATTGGTGAAGAGTTGAAAGATTTGAACAAAATGAAGTGTATAAGAAAGGTGGACTGGATGCCTTTGTGTCAAATAATGGGGTTTGCCTTATAGGATTGTCTTTTTTTGATGACCTTCTTTGAAATCTATACCATGGTTGGAACTAAAACCCAACCACAATTCATCATTTGAGAATACTTAATTCTCATTGTGTCATCTCATCATTGCAAGGTTTTAAATTTTATAATTCTTATGGTGCCACCTCATCACCCCAAGGTTTGACTTTTGTATAAATATAAAGATATAATAATATAATATAATTAGTTTTGCACTATAATTTCTATCATTTGGTTTGTTTGGTTTCCAACCATGTTTATAGATTTCAAAGAGAGTCATCCAAAGAAAGACAACCCTATGAGGCAAACCCCATTATTTGACATAAAGACATCCAATCCACCTTTTCTTATACACTTCATTTTGTTCAAATCTTTCAACTCTTCACCAATGTGAGATATCTCAAAATCAACCACAATTCTTCAACACCTCAATACTTGATTCTCATGATATCACCTCAATACTCTTGGTTCTTCCTTAAATATATATATATATATATATAAAGATATAATAATATAATATAATTAGTTTTGCACTATAATTTCTACCATTTGGTTTGTTTGGTCCAACCATGTTTATAGATTTCAAAGAGAGTCATCCAAAGAAAGACAACCCTATAAGGCAAACCCCATTATTTGACATAAAGGCATCCAATCCACCTTTCTTATACACTTCATTTTGTTCAACTCTTCACCAATGTGGGATATCTCAAAATCAACCACAATTCTCCAACAGCTCAATACTTGATTCTCATGATATCACCTCAATACTCTTGGTTCTTCCTTAAATATATATATATATATATATATATGTGTGTGTGTATGTGTGTGTGTGTAGAAGCTTGTTTGGTATTTTATTTTTGTATATGAGAATTCCCATTATACTACTGGGTGATGTAGTTATTTTATCTGTCGTCTTGGTGTTACTACTATCAAAGTTTGACACACCCCTCTAATTACAATTCAAATATTATGAAATGTTATGATAAAGTGTAGTATTTGTTTTTATCAGTTTAATATCTGATATGTGGGTCATCGACCCCACTTGATATCAATTTTATTTTTTTATGAGGAAAAATTCATTATCTTAGCTTGGTTATGTGGTTCTTCATGCATCGCCTTGAACTTTCACTACTGTTGCTACAACTTATGCACTCCTCTAATTTTCTCTTGAAATATTATAGAATGTTTCTTTTTCATAACTTAAAATGAGATTTCAATTAAATTTGTTACAAAATTAACATCGTGTTTATGTCACCTTATATGAGATTTCAGTTAGAACTATCACTTCTAATTAAACAAACTACTAACATTAGTTAAACATTTGTAGAATACTTTGTAACATCATTTTTTACCATAGTTAGATAACTTAAATTAGCATATGGTTATGATATTGTTGTCAACTTCTCTTAATTTTTTTTTTGTTAATGAGTAGTTGTCACACACATTTGCATAATTGTTTTTTAGAAGTGGAATTCAAATTTTAATCTATAACATTCATTTTGAATATGGTATTATGACTACCGCGCAACGCGCGGTTGGAACACTAGTGTTATTTGGTTTGATACAAATATAATGGGCCCATTACCCCCAAATACATTAATTTCCATATCTGACCAAATTGGGAGGAATGGAAAATTTGTTTTCGCTTAGTTCATCTCTTGATGTTGAATAGAACGCATTTTCTCTTTTCACTTTGAGTGGAGTGTATTTTTATATTTTGAAGTTGGTCGAAATATAGATGCATAAAAAATATTATATAAAACAAATTATCATTGATTATATTAGTTTAACCAAACAGCATTTATTCGTTGCTTATTACTATTCCCATTCTTCTGCATTTCCATTTTCATTTCCTTTCCTTAAAATGAACCAAACACCCCCTTAGGTTTTTTGCGGAGCTTTCCAAAAATAGCAGTGTCTTGAAAACAATTTTAGGTAAAAAATTTGTGAGTGTGCTTCCCTTTGTGCTATTGTGTGTGATGAACCTATATATACTGGATTAATTTACTGGTTGACTCTTTAACAATTATTTTTAGAAAAGGCAAGGATAGGGAGACTTGAACCCTTGTAGGTATTACCACCTAAGAGATAAGTTCATGTACTACCAGATGGATGCTTTGTGACCCGAACAACTGTTTTCGACAAAAGGGTTCTAAGCTTTGCAACAAAGAAAGTAATCATATTTTGAGTTTCGACTCTAATTGACTATTTGGGCAGGAAAGGCAGGAAGAGACTGGATAGGACTGGATTGAACGGGGAGAGTGAGGTAGGTGAGTGGCTGAAAGAATGTGGAAGGTTTTAGGGTTTTAATTTGACATGGGTATTTAGTAAATTGCCAATCTTGTCCCATTTCTTTTATTCTTGTTCCAACTATTCTAGTGGGACAAACAATGCACTTCTGTTCCACTCAGTCCAATCCTGTCCCAATCTAATGTCGCGTAAAATGTGGGACAAGTTTTTGTTATGCCATGTCCTATGTAACAAACGCACCCTTAAATGTTGATATGAATTCTTAATCAATTCTAAATTAATAACTATAGATAAGCATTGGTGTCAAATTGGTCAACAAAATCTTGTTGGTTATGGATTTCAATAGTGATGTGCGTAGCCTTGAAAAGTTGAAGCATACACTTTTGTTCTCAAAGGTAGTGTTGGCACACGTATAGGACTGGACTGGACAAGACAAGTTTGTCGTGTGTGTGGCACGACTATGACTGGATGGGACTGAGCTAGACATGTTACCCCTAAATGTTGTTTAATGATTTTATATGGTGGTTACGGTTGTAGTGGAGGAGGAAACGGCGGTGGTGGTGACAGTGGTGGAGGTAGAGGCGATGTGGCCGGCGGTGGTTGTGGATGATGTGGAGATGATAGATTGGTGGTGGCGGTGGATGTGGTCATTTTGGAGGAGGTAGACGTGGTGGTGGCCAATGTGGTGGAGATCGGGGTGTGATGGACGGTGGTAAGTAGCTGATGATGGTGGAGGTGGCTGCCGGTGGTCGTGGTGATGGCAATAGGCAGTGGTGATTGGTAGTCGATGATGGTTGTAGTGGACGTGTTGGTTATGAAGGATGTGTAGATGGTGGACAATGGTGGATATGAAGGTGGAGGTGGTGGTAGTAGAATCTGCTGGTGGTGGAGGTGGTATGGTGGTGGTGGCGGCGATGGGCGGTGGTGACCATTAAACCAAATACCATATTAGGGTTTTATCAAATGAGGGTAGATTGGTAGCCTTTTTTGTCCCATCCATCCCCCTATCTCATGTCCCGCCTGTCCCGCCAAAAGTGGAACTATGAGCTTTGTCGTGTAATGTCCTGTCCAGTCTCATGTAATGCAGCCAAAAAAAACAAAAGTTTAAGCTTAGATCCGTTACTTTTTGTTTGCATTTTAGGAATGGAAGGACCTGGCGATAACATGATCTAGATCGTATTCGTGACTACTTACTTTATAATCTTGTTTCATATTTTGTGACAAGTTCTAGTAGTGGCTATTTGGTAATGAAGTTTAAAGGGTTTTGTTTCATCAAAGTGCCTGATTACTATATTTGAGCAACATTCAACAGCTAAAAATATTTGACCCTCCATATAAATTACTATGTTAATCAAGCTCTGAGTATAATCGAACTGCTAGATATTTTCTTCCATACGAACTAAATCAGTTCTATTGATCACCCTCAGTACTGTGTCTAAATGAACATGGCTTAGCTCCCATCCTCCCACTAGTACGAGAATTATAAAGTTATGGATATTGACTCTGAGATGACGTTTTGTGTTTATGGAGGATTTTACTGAAGCATTTTGGTTTGGTGTTTCAGATGTATGTGACGGAACCAGATACTGATGTCTATGCGATTCCAAGAGTTCTTGCACCAATGCCTGAGCAGGTTAATTACTAATTAGACAAGTTCCTACTTTCATGCATATAAATGGTTGATACCACCAATTCATTGATTGGTGGTTCTGTTTCAATTTCTATTTTCAGATTTGCAATCTCCCTTTCTTTCATCATTCTTCCGATTAATACAGAGGATAATGATAGGCATATCTTGAATTGCAGTATATCAGATGTGCAAAGAGTGACTGGGGGACCTACAATGTCACAGAACCACCAATTGACGCACTTAGAGATCCCATGTACAAATCAGAGTGGGAGGTTATGAAGGTGAGGAACTCGTGCTTTATCTTGTCAACATCTTCATATGATTTAAAACTTGGATGAAATGGCAAGAATTACATCTTTATTGACATATTTCTGATAGACCCATTTCGGGTATATGCTATCTTTTGCTTCCCCAAAATTCTGCCCATAGATCATAATAGGTCTCATTGCTGTGATATTTTGCACCTTGGTGAAATTTTGCAGTCCACATAAGATTGCCGCTATGCCATTCACCGTTGCTCTTATCCTACAACCAAAATGCTGGAGAACATTCTTTAACACCTTTTATAAAAAACAATACTTATTACATCTTCCTCCTCCGTGCTACAACCATCACTAGTGAGCTTCAGATTCAAGGGTGTTTTTCCACAGCTATCACGTGTCAACTAGCATAACGTATTTTCCAGAATCACATACCATGAGGTATATGTCCTTTATGAGCTCACCCGTCATCTAAAGCAAAGAGACTGTCCGTAGGGACTACATAAATATTGCTTGTACATGCTTTCATCAGCATATTTTGCAAGGATTTTCATCTTCTAAAAATCCCTTGCTGTATTCTGAGTTGTTCATCTAGGCCTGAGTTGTTCATCTAGTCAGTGGCGAAGCCACATGGGAACGAGAGGGAGCAGCTGGTCCCCCTAGAATTAAAAAAAGAAGTTTCATATAGGTTAAGAGAAGAGGAGAGAGTTAGAGGCGGTGTGAGAAGTGGGAGAAGAGGAGGATCATCCAGGCGGTGAGAAAGTGGGAAGTAAAGTGATGATGCATAATAAAATCTATACTTATAGCCCTTGTATTTTAATGGACTTTCAAAAACTGAAACTTTTTTAAAAGCGGCTATTACAATTTAAACCAATGTATATATTCAAATGTTACTCCATCTAAAATTTAGAAAATGAGATAATTATTCGAATAATTATTAATGTTATAATTATGAACTTGGTTTTAAAAAGCGCGATGCGATCCGATGCGTTAAGGGTCCCGGAAGCCGATGCGTGATGCGTGATGCTGATGCGCTCGCATCACGCACGTGATGCGCCCGGTATTCAAAAAATATTTATAAATTAATTCTACATATCAATTTCTACCTTAAAAATACTTACCTATAAGCTGGTATTCAAAAAATATTTATAAATTAATTCTACATATCAATTTCTACCTTAAAAATACTTACCTATAAGCTGGTATTCAAAAAATATTTATAAATTAATCTCGCATCACGCACGTGAACTCGCAATAGGTTCCGATTCCGACATTCTCTTAAGCTGGTCGACTTCTAATTCTGCACTTTCTTCTAGACTGTCGAGCTTCTTCTAGGCTGTCGACTTCTTCTTCTTCTTCTAGGCTGTCGACCTGGTAATCGAGTTCGAGTATCGATCTGCTGTCGACCTGGTAATCGAGTTCGAGTATCGACCTGGTAATCGAGTTCGAGAATCGAGACTCACGCTTTCTGCTTCTTTGCTGGTTCTACTTCTTCGCTGTCTTAAGTCTTAACGTTCTACTTCTTTGCGTCGGCTTCTATTAGGTCGATAACGTAACATAATAGGCTAAGTCTTAACGTTCTATTTCGATAACATAAGAAGCCCAACTAATAGGCCCAACTAAATACTGCAAAAAAGCCCAAAAAACGCAACATATACATGATGCGCTGATGCTCGACTGATGCACGCATCGAGTGATGCGTAGGGGATGCGATCGCATCATGGAATCGCATCGCATCAGTCCCTTTGATGCGCTTTCTTCATCGCATCGCATCGCATCACGCATCAGTTCGCATAATGCGCGCATTTTTAAACCCAGATTATGAAAGTAAAAGAATATATATCAACTTAAACTTATTTTAACTATGCTTTTAAGTGAACAGTTATTATCTTGATCAACATTCATCTTAATCACCGTTTTTATAAATGGTCACGTTAAATGCCTGGATTATAAATTTTGTACCCAATTTATGTGACAAGATCATGTCAAAATAACAAAAAAATATACGTATATTACCTTAAACTATGTAAAAACGACTTGATAGTTGTTGTGATGAATGCAATAAATCGATTTTAAAAGATGAAATCTCTTAAGAACTAACGTTGAATACAGTTTGTTTCTAATTCTAATGACATTGTACTTTTTTATTTTCTTTTATAATGTGTTAATTAAATTAGCTTTTATAGGGCTGCCCAGTTGTTAACTGTTTATATTGATTGATTTTAGCGCTATCCATTTGTTAAGTGTTGATTTTAATTTGTTTTTATATTTAACAGCCATTCATGGATAAATATTTAATAAAAAGACAAACAACGGATGATTCATTACCTATTTTATTCATCAATAACTCATGCTCCCCCTCGAACCAAACCCGTCTCTGCCCCTGCATCTACTAGCATAATTCAATTGAATTTTGATGCACTTTTTTGTGGCTAAAAAGTTGATCCATACCTCTTCTTTTAGCTGTTATTATGGCTCCACCATTCCAAAGAGAACTTAGCTACAGCACCATGTCCCCTTTGAAAAATTGAAAGTTGACAATTTGACATATAAATCAATGAACCTTGAAAATGGGTCTATTACCGCCTTGAGGTGAGTTGGGTTCAGTGTGTTTTTTGTTCAAGGGAGTAATAACCCAATAATAAGAGTTCATTGTTTTGAAGCTAATTGTTCAAAGGGGAAATGGGGTGCTGGAACGTTTTTCAATGGTTTTTTGGTTGCTATTATTTTGACAATAAAATTCATAGAGAATTAAGAGGAATTTGAATGCAGATATAAGAATGAAAAGTGATGTAAACAATCATTTTTATTCATGCAATAAGAGATCTGTTAGTGGTGGACATCTTATTTGTTAATGAATAGAGTTGTGGGAAGGAATTAGGTTGTTCTTGGTCTGGATTTTAGCTTGGATTTCAGCTCAAGGTGTCAAAAACTCATAAAGAGGTCTTAGGCTTACCCCAAGCAACTCGCATACAGGTCAATGGCCAGACACAAAGTAGAAGTACAAAGAGATTTAAATGACCATACAACATAACCACATAAGGAGGATATGCAAACTGTTGCATCTGTTTGTTTGTGCTGAACACTGTTGTCCTCAGCCAGGGTATCTGTTTGTTCGTTTCTAATGTGGCACAAACACTGATGTTGACAACAAAAGGTGGTTTTAGAAAATTCTACATTTTGAGCATGGATGGTCTGCAGGCAACTTTATATATACTTCAAGAATATTGTGATATTCTGGTATATTTGGACAAAAAGTTGATTAGTGACAACTTCAACCGGCCCCACATGGACTCCAAGGACACCAATGTAAGGGGGCAATTTTTATCTCATTCAGCGGCTGAGGCTAGTAGGGGGCCCAGGATCAAACCCGGGACCTGTCTTTTATTTGGACAAAGTCGCCCCACCCTTTTGCCAACTGGGTTACATGCCGAAGGCTTGATATCCTGAAATATTTGGTGATTGAAATGCAACAAAGTGAAGTTTGGTGGTCAAACCATGAGAAGATGTTTGGTATGTAGACTGGACTTGTCTGTACGGACGAGAGTGAGGTAGGTGGATGAAAGAGTTGTGCCAGGTTTTAGGGTTTAAACTTGCTATGGGTAGTTTAGTAATATACCAATCTTGTTTCATCTACCTGATTTTTGTTCCACCTATTTTGGTGACAAAAGAAATGCATTTTTGCTCCACTCAATATTGTCCCGTTCCAGTGTGAATGTTGTTCCAAACGTGGAACAACAAATTTTTGAGGCATAGGAGATCAGATTTTGTAGAATGATTTCTTCTGTAATGGAATCCTTTGTAACAGATTATTTTAGGGACTACTAGCTAGTCTAGACAAGGGTATGGAAGATGGCGAAGAAGTCTGATATAGTGTATACACTCGGTTGTACTCCCTCCATCCAAAAAACAATGACAAATTTCTTTTTGGATTGTCACAGAAGATGAATGACAATTTTTTGGCAAGTTTTTAGACCTATTTTGCATGTTTGCTCTTTAGTAACCATTTCATGGAATTAACAACTTTACTTGTGGTATACGAAGTTTTTTCTATTGTCATTATTAAGGGGCATTTTAGACATTTGGGCAATAATAGAACATTTTTTATCAACTATATGCCAAGTCAAAAGGTATCTCTGTAGAGATTATAAAAAGCTCAGAAAGTTCTCCCTCTAGATGAACAATTTGTACTTGTAGCTCGAGAAATAGTTACGGTTGAAGCTTCAAAGCATTTTTGTCATCCTTACAATATAGTAGTAACTCTTTATTTTTCTCACTGAAGGTATTTTTGACGAAGCACTACAGGAACCGACGTTTGGATGATCCGGATTTTGTGCTAGACTTTGAGGAGATTTATGTTATCGATTCAAAAACAAAGTCTATAACTCGGGCCAGAGTTGTGGTTAGTACCAATCATGCTTTGAATTATATCATCACTTCCATTTCAACACATGTTCCATACTAGTATAAATGAGTTCATTCTTGCCCATGCGTCAATTATTTAGTTGTAGTTGTGCTAGGTAAGCAGAACAGATGAGATTTTGCAATGAGAAATGATATGGAAGTAAAACAATGCTCAAAACACACTCAGAGTTTACATGGTTTGGTAATGAATTGACCTGCGTCCGCTGCTGTACTAGCGAGTCTCTTTTATTTATTTCGTCTTAGGGTGTTACTGTTACAATAAGATGTATATACAGATATATATCCTTGTGTTTGTGGAGAATGGGCAAGAAAGTTGTCTTCTAATTTTCCTTCCACGTGCACTATCCCCTTGATTAATGCTCACTGCCCGGGCACTCAGGAAGTGAGCCCCTGTCGAGGGCTCTCTGGCGCCCTCACTCTCTCACGAGGGTCAGGCTATCATCAGACTTCACTACTTAACAAGTTGAACCACCATCAGACTGGCATGCCATTATCAGCTTCCTTAAAGATCTTTAAACAGACATGGGGAAAGAATAGAACTCCTCTAGTCTTCAAACGACACAACTTTTTATTAGAACCGAAAACCAACACATATGAGACAGTACAAATTAGTTGAACCACTGATCTAAAACCAACCTACCAAACAAAATACCCACAATTGAGAATCAACGAAACCATCACCTAACTACGAGTCTAAGACTGTTGAACTTGAACACCTAACCAGATAAAACTAATACAAAGATATAAACTGAAAAACCAACAAAATAACACTGAAACAGAAATGGACATGAAAGCTGATAATAAAGAAGGTTAAATTGTGAAAATGCAACGTATTTTGGTGTGTAATGTACTTCTTAAAAACTTTCAATTTGGTATAGCAGATTTGATATCTCAAACATGTAGACCAAAGTACGTTACACGGAATAGAAATCGTACCAGAGTACATTGCATCTTCATATGTAAAGTAGGTACCTAAATGTTTGAGATGTCACATCTAAGGTACCAAAATAAAGGTTTGAAAGTATGTTGTACAAAATATGGTGATCAGACCAAAGTGTGTTGCATTTTCATGCCATTTGTCCAGAAAAGAAGTATTTCTACAATAGATTTTGTGGGTTTCTTTAATGGAATAATTATGATGTAATGTAGGTGACGGTTCCTGAAGGAAGAGAAAGGAATAGAAAGAACGACCTTCTTGTTATTCGGGACAATGCGACTTCATTCAAAATAATTCCCTCGGTGATTATCATTGTAATTCTAGTTTACAACTGCGTATCAAGTCTTGTCTGATTCAAATACTCTTTTGCAGGAGGAGAGAGACGATCCAACGACTGTAGTACATAGGGAAGAGTGGGAGCAGGACAGAAAGGACATGGAAAGACATCTCAGCAAGCTGCGGGATTTCAGCGTTTCGAACTGGTTCTAATTGAATTTTGTACACTCTTTAAACCCTAAACTTACCATCAATTAGAGATCATGTTCATGAGTAGGTACCTCTGTATACGCAAACGATGAAACAAGTACCACTTTTTTGTTCATTATATTTATTGCCAGATTCATTTTCTCCCTGTCCATCATGTTAACTCGATTATGATCCAAGGATTTTCAAGTAAGGGGTGTTTACAAACGCTTACTGTATAATCACTTACCAGCAAGAGTCACCACCCTCGTTTACCTTACATGGTAACATTCTCATCCATCAAAATAGATTGTTGGTAAACGTTTTCTACCCGGTAAGTGCTTACATGGTAAGAGTCTTCTCCCTCACTTGTTGGGTAAGATTCTCAGTCCTTGTCATGCCCCTTACCGGGTAAGATTTTAGGTTATTATCATGATCACCCGGAAGGTAAGTGACCCCTGGTAACCGTCTGGTGAACGACCCTAAATGTCGGTTAAAATAAACAATATTTACTTTCTTTAGTGAGCAAGTCATAAAGGTTCACTTAACATCTATTCTTTAGATATGACACCCCTACACCAGGTGACCTCCTATCCCTTGATTAAGTTATGTACCACCTCCATTACTAGAAGGGTTATTTAGGTGAATAATTGTACAATATATTTCGAAGCATTTATGTGTTAGAAAGAGGCATTCTTCTGTTAGTAGGGATGTATGAAATCTGTTAGAAGGTAATATATTTGAAAAGTATCTGTTAGAGGGGTCTTTTTCTAATAAGCCTCCACTAGAACTAGTTTTATGTTGTTTTTTAGGCCTATAATTTTGGTGGGTCTCTTTTAGTATTATAACAGGTCCTTAGAATTATGTACACTTTGACAATAAAATCTGCATGTCAGATCTCTTGTGTCTGATTACATGACCATGAAGGCTGGCATCTTCAGAGGCTGCATTCAGGTCATTGGTCTCTACTTTATGCTTATTCAAAGGTTATACAAGGTAATTTTATGTCTAATAAAAACTTGTTGCTATAAATATCAATCATTAACATATGTTTTTGGATTCTTGTTGGTCAAGTATGTGAAAAAACCTGCATGACAACATGGTAGTCTTAACCATTAAGCTCACCTGTTCAAGTCCTCTAGGTAGCATTTGTTCCCATCACTTGGTATGACATGCCATAGATCTTGTCTTGTTACATGACTATCAATGTTAACACTCATGAGGCATATTGTTTCCTCTTCAACCTGACATTCTTCTTGATTTTAAGGACAATGGTTTAATGCAGCCTCAACAAGGGACACTATCACCTTAGCACCTACCATAAGGTCTTATACGAGTGATACAGTATTTGATACCATGTTACAACTAATGGTATTCTTTATAATACTGTGTGTCCGGGCTAGTTTGCACACGCCTCGACTAATCCAATGGGACGCTGACTTACAGCGGTAACCTGTAAGGAACAACCCCAAGATCTTACTAGTTGGGTTTGCTTGTAAAGTCAAGCTAATGGTATTCTAGACTAGAAATGAGATCTCCACCTATATATATATATATATATATATAGTTGGGTTCACGTGAGACCAGACTGTTTTCGTGAGACCCGTGAGACCACATTTTTACACTTGAAACTTCACAGCAAAAACATTGTGAAGGTTTAAAAAAGTCAAACCTTCACAACAAAAACACTGTGAAGGTTACCTTCACAGCGTTTTGTTGTGAAGTTTCAAGTGTAAAAAGTTGGTCTCACGTGATCCTAAGTCTATATATATAGGGACCCATTCAAGAGAGAACTGATTAGTTTGTGGTAACTGTGAGATCCAATCTCAACCACAAATCAACGGATAAATTAAGAAATTAATAATTATGGTAGTTTGAGTTAAAATTATAATTAGAGGGCATTTTAGGTATTTTTAAAAAACTTCTCTATCCTATCTCATCTCTCATCTCTCATCTCTCATCTCTCCGACCTCCAATCTCCGGCCTCTGGTGAACAAAAATCCGACAGGTACCAATTAATCACAAAGATACACAATGTGATACTCATTGTGATATCCATTGTGATATACTGTGATATCCATTGTGATATATTGTGACACCATTTGAGTACCACTGTATATCACAATGGTTATCACATTGTGTATCTTTGTGATTACTTGGTACCTGCCGGATTTTTGTTCACCGGAGGCCGGAGATTGGTGGTCGGAGAGATGAGAGAGGAGAGAGAAGTTTTTTAAAAATACATAAAATGTCTTCTAATTATAATTTTAACTCAAACTACCATAATTATTAATTACCTAATTTATCCGTTGATTTGTGGTTGAGATTGGATCTCACAGTTACCACAAACTAATCAGTTCTCATTTGATTAAGCCCCTATATATGTGTGTGTGTGTGTATATATAGAGGAGGTTTACTTTGCAAACCACGTTATTTGTACAAACCGTACAAATCTCATTCAACCAATCATAATTTTTCGTTTTGTTCATTTTTTTTGTAGTTATAAGAGGTTGATTAATCACTATTATTATTGTGGAGGGTGTTAATTATGAATATTATCATCTTCATTATTTTAATTTTAGAGAAATACATGAAACAGTTTCATTAAATATTATATGATACAATTTCATAACCATATATGAAACAATTTCATCCAAAAAAGTATTATATAAAACAATTTCACAAGATTAAAAAATTTCATAAGATTAAACAATGAAATCGACGGATGGGGGTGGTTTGCACGGTTTGTACAAATTGGATGGTTTGCATTTGATCGCTCATATATATATATATATATATATATATATATATATATATATATATA